AAATGAATTCAGGAAAGTTGTAGGATAAAAAATCAACATACAAAAATCAGTTGCATTTCTATACACTAACAACAAACTATCTGAAAAATAAATAAAGAAAACAATCTCATTTCAAATAGCATCAAAAACAATAAAATACTTAGGAATAAATTTAACCAAAGGAGGTGAAAGATCTGTTCATTAAAAGCTATAAGACACTGATGAAAGAAATTGAAGAAGACAGTTGGTGAAATAAATGGAAAGATATCAAAAACTCTGAGTAGCCAAAGCAATCTTGAGAAAGCAGAGCAAGGCTGGAGGCATCACACTTCCTGATTTCAAACTCTACTACAAAGCTGTAGTGATCAGAACAGCACGGTACTGTTATAAAAACACATAGACCAATGGAACGGAATTGAGAGTCCAGAAGTAAACCCATGCATCTATGGGCAACTAATATTTGACAAGGGAGCCAAGAATACTCAATGGGGAATGGATAGTCTTTTCAATAAACGGTGTTGGGAAAACTGGATATGTACGTGCAAAATGAAATTGAACCCCTATCTTACACCACTCACAAAAATTAACTGGAAATGTATTAAAGACTTAAGTGTAAGACTTGAAACCATAAAACTCCTAGCAGAGGGGCCGGCCCCATGGCTTAGCAGTTAAGTGTGCACACTCCGCTACTGGCGGCCCGGGTTTGGATCCTGGGCGCGCACCGACGCACCGCTTGTCCAGCCATGCTGAGGCCGCATTCCACATACAGCAATTAGAAGGATGTGCAACTATGACATACAACTATCTACTGGGGCTTTGGGGAAAAAAAAAGGAGGAGGATTAGCAATAGATGTTAGCTCAGAGCCGGTCTTCCTCAGCAAAAAGAGGAGGACTGGCATGGATGTTAGCTCAGGGCTGATCTTCCTCACACACACAAAAAAAAAACTCCTAGAAGAAAACATAGGTAAAAAGCTCCTTGAGGTGCTGGCCCAGTGGCCTAGTGATTAAGTTTGGGTGCTCTGCTTCAGTGGCCTGGGGTTCGCAGGTTCAAATCTCTGGCGTGGACCTACACACCACTGATCAAGCCATGCTGTGGCGGCGTCCCACATATAAAGTAGAGGGAGATGGGCACGGATGTTAGCCCAGGGCCAGTCTTCCTCAGCAAAAAGAGGAGGACTGGCAACAGATGTTAGCTCAGGGCTAATCCTCCTCACCTAAAAAGAAAAAAAAGCTCCGTGATTGGTCTTGGCAACAATTTTTTGGATATGATGCTAAAAGCACAATCAACAAAAACCAAAATTAATAAGTGGGACTACATCAAACTAAAAAACTTTTGCACAGCAAAAGAAACAATCAACAAAAATAAAGAAGCAACCTTTGGAGTGAGAGAAAATATTTACAAAGCATATATCAGATACGAGTTTAATATCCAAAATATTGGATAATAAGGGACTCATACAACTCAATAGCAAAAATACTAACACAGTCACGCGTCACTTAACAATGGGGATATGTTCTGAGAAATGTGTCGTTAGGTGATTTCGTCATTGTGTGAACATCATAGAGTGTACTTACGCAAACCTAGGTGGTATAGCCTACCACACCAAGGCTATATGGTACTAATCTTATGGGACCACTGTTGAATATGTGGTCCATTGTTGACCAAAACGTTGTTATGCAGCACATGACTGTAATTTGATTTAAAAATGTACATAAGACCTAAATAGAAATTTTCCCAAAAAAGACATACAAATGGGCAACAGGTACATGAAAAGATGCTCAACATCACTCATCATAAGGGAAATGCAAATCAAAACCTCAATGAGATATCACCTCACACCCGGTTAGAATGGCTGTTATCAAAAAGACAAGAGATAACAAGTGTTGGCGAGGATGTGGAGAAAAGGGAACCCTTGTGCATTGTTGGTGGAGTGTAAATTGGTACAGCCACTATGAAAAACATATGCAGGATTCTCAAAAAACTAAAATAGAACTACCATATGATCCAGCAATCCCACTTCTGTGTATATATCCAAACGAAATGAAATCACTATCTCAAAGAGATATCTGCACCCCAATGTTCATTGCAGCATTATTCACAATAATCAAGACATGGAAACAACCTTAAGTGTCCATTGATGGATGAATGGATAAAGAAAATGAGATTGTACATATATACATGTATACACATACATACACACATAATGGAATATTATTCAGCCATAATGAAGAAGGAAATCCTGCCATTTGCAACAACATGGATGGACCTTGAGAATATTATGCTAAGTAAAATAAGTCAGACAGAAAGACAAATACTGTATGATCTCACTTATATGTGGCACCTAAAAAAAGCCTAGCTCATAGAAACAGAGTGGAATGTTGGTTGCCAGGGGCTGAGGGTGAAGGGTTAGAAATGGGGAGATGTGAATTAAAGGGTACTAACCTCCAGTTATCAGATGAATAATTTCTGGGGAATCCAATATACAGCATGGTGACTATAGTTAACAATACTGTATTATATACTTGAAAGTTACTAGGAGAGTAAATCTTAAATGTTCTCACTACAAAAAAAAAATAGTAGTTATGTGAGGTGATGGATATGCTAACCTTATCGTGGTAATCATTTCACAATATATACATGTTTTCAAAGCATCATGTTGTACACCTTAAACTTACACAATGTTCTATATCAATATCTCAATAAAGCTGAGGAAACGTTTTTTAAAACTGAAACATATGATAGTAGTTACACTTTAAGTATTGGTTGACTAATAAAATAAAAGTATGCATATTTTAGTAATCCCAATAGCCTCTCTATTCCTTTTAGAATAGTGTGTGCATATATGTGAGAGAAAGGCATATTGTTTATTGGTTCTGCAGAGAACTTTGATACCATATGAATTTTCTGGTGGTCATTCTGTATGAACTCGGACCTCTCGGGGGTTTATGGCCTGGACATTGGAAACTCCAGCTCTGACATTCTACTTTTTATTTGAACTCCCATAGGCCATCTCATTGTTAAGTAAATCTTATTCTTTCTATTTTTATAATATTATTTTACCTGACTAGAAAGTTTTCCAATTTTACAAGTAAATCTTTTCCAATAAAAATTACACATTTATGTCAAATTCTGAAAATCCTAGCTATATGTATATCCTGCTTTGTACCTTAGAGGGATGACCGAAATATTAGTTGTATATAAACCAAATCATCTTTCCAAAGCCACAGGTGAAAAACAGACACACAGATCAATGGGACAGAATTGAAAGCCCAGAAATAAAACCACACATGTACGGACAGCTAATTTTCGACAAAGGAGCTAAGAACATACAATGGAGAAAGGAAAGTCTCTTCAATAAATGGTGTTGGGAAAACTGGACAGCCACATGCAAAAGAATGAAAGTGGACCTTCTGCTATCGCCATTCACAAAAATTAACTCAAAATGGATCAAAGACCTGAAGGTGAGACCTGAAACTATAAAACTCATAGAAGAAAATATAGGCAACACACTATTTGACGTTGGTCATAAAGGAATCTTTTCAGATGATGTGCCTACCCAGACTAGGGAAACTAAAGAAAAAATAAACAAGTGGGACGTCATCAGATTAAAGAGCTTCTACAAGACAAACGAAACCAGAATCAAGATGAACAGACAACCCACCAGCTGGGAGAGAATATTTGCAAAACATGCATCTGACAAGGGGTTCATCTCCATAATATATAAAGAACTCACACAACCGAACAACAAAAAAACAAACAACCCGATCAAAAAATGGGCAGAGGAAATGAACAGACACTTCTCCAAAGAAGATATACAGATGGCCAATAAGCACATGAAAAGATGTTCAACATCACTAATCATCAGGGAAATGCAAATCAAAACAACACTAAGATACCACCTCCCGCCCGTTAGAATGGCTATAATCACCAAGACAAAAAACAACAAGTGTTGGAGAGGATGTGGAGAAACAGGAACCCTCATACACAGCTGGTGGGAATGCAAACTGGTGCAGCCTCTATGGAAAACGGTATGGAGATTCCTTAAAAACTTAAAAATAGAGATGCCCTATGGACCAGCCATCCCATTACTGGGAATCTATCCAACGAACCTGAAATCAACAATCCAGAGAGGCTTATGCTCCCCTATGTTCATTGCAGCATTCTTCACCATAGCCAAGAAGTGGAAGCAACCTAAGTGTCCCTCGACTGACGATTGGATTAAGAAAATGTGGTATATCTATATACAATGGAATACTACTCAGCCATAAAAAAAGACAAAATCGTCCCATTTGCAACAACATGGATGGGCCTGGAGGGTATTATGTTAAGTGAAATAAGCCAGAAAGAGAAAGACAAACACTGTATGATCTCACTCATATGTGGAATATAAACCAACACATGGACAGAGAAAACTGTATTGTGGTTACCAGGGGCAGTGGGGGTGGGGAGTAGGCACAAGGGGTGAAGGGAGACATATATATGGTGATGGACAAACAAAAATGTACAACCCAAAATTTCACAATGTTAAAAACTATTAAAACATCAATACAAAAAAAAAAAAAAAAGCCACAGGTGAGCATGGTATTTAAAAGAGCATGGTAAATTGATGGACCTCTTTAGTAACAGGAAAAAGCAGATTTTAATTCATCTTTTCTGTAAACATGGATTTTTGTACCTTGGGTATGCTTTAAATGAAACACACGCACATATCTATCTCTCTCCTTTAATTAAGGTTTATAGGATTTTTTTTGCCAGCCATTCTCACTGGCAAGTGGCTGATTCCCATTAGAGTCTGAGGTCCAGTGAGAAGTGGGCTTGAGCCCAGGGGGTTTCCATCAGTTTGTAGTGGGCTGCTTTTTATTCTCTGTTACTCTGTCCCAATTATGTGTCCATCGTTTAGAAAGACTGTGGGTTTTTGGATCGAAATCTTGTGGTCTCTTGGTAAAGTAGACCAATATAAACAAGCCAGCCCAGTTTAAGTCCTGAGAAGCGCCAGTGCATACCGTTTTTCTCCTTTTAGGCCTGCATGCTTGTTTTTCAACCAGATCTTGATATTGCCCGCCCTGACCTAGCAGAGAAGAGTGAAGTGATTATTTGTCTTGATTGCTCCAATTCCATGGAAAGTGTGACATTTTTGCAAGCCAAGCAAATTGCCTTATATGCACTGTCCTTGGTGGGTAAGAAGCAAAAGATCAACATTGTCAGGTTTGGCACAGGTGAGTGCTCTTGGGCCCCAGTCTAAAGTGTGCTTCCTCCTCAGTGTGAACACACTCAGGAGTAGAGCTGATGGCTGCTGGGAGCCCGACCTCGTCTGTGGAGTGAGAGGTAGCACAGCATGGAGTTCAAGAACAAGAACTCTGGAGCCAGACCCCTGGGTTCAGATTCCGACTGTACCAGTTACTAGCTCTAGGTGTCACCTTGGGCAAGTTACTTGAATTTTTCATGCCTCAGTTTCCTCATCTGTAATATGAGGGTGATAGTCCCTACCTTGTAGTGTTGTTGTGAGGCTTGAACTAATGTATATAAAGGATTTAAAACAGTGCTATGACATAGTGAGTGCTATATAAACATTACTATTTTTATTACCAGCCCTGGTGGTCTAGTGGTTAAGATCCAGCACTGTCACCATCGCAGCCTGGGTTTGTTTCCTGGTCAGAAAACCACACCACCCGTCTGTCAGTTGTCATACTGTGACAGCTGCTTGCTGCTGTGATGCTGAAAACTGCTACCTGGAATTCAAATACCAGCAGGGTCACCCATGGTGGACAGGTTTCAGTGGAGCTTCCAGACTAGACAGACTCGGAAGAAGGACCTCGCCACCTACTTCCAAAAAATTGGCCATGAAAACCCAGTGAATAGCAGCAGAGCACTGCAAAAAAGACCAGACCAGGTTCCACTCTGCTGTACACAGGGTCACTAGGAGCTAGAATCAACTCGATGGCAGTAACAACAACAAATGTTATTAGCAACTGAATCAAATGCAAGACCCTTGGTCTGACGAGTATGAGGGTCCCAAGGATATGGACAGAACATTTGAAATCAGCATGGTAGTGGAAAATCTGTAAGGAATGGTGTCAGGAAGCATCAGATCTGCCCTATTAGAAGAAAGGGAATGCCATCCTCCAGGCATGGGCCCAGGGGGATATCTCAGCCACCAAAAGAAGGCACGTTAGGGATGAGAGAAGGAGCACAGAGGGGAGTGAGGTGACAATCATGTCCTATTGATTCCTCTCTTCTGTGCCATTCAGCAGAAGGCTCATCCCCTTTACGAAGGAGCCAGGGTCTGCTGCTGCTGGGGGCAGAGGTCACACAAGCCTGGGGAGTGAGGAAGGAGCATGTGTCCCTCCCTGGCCAGGCTGCCTGTGAGATTGCTACGCCGCGCATCTTACTTAGCATAAGCAATCTGCTACAGAACAGAGGTCTAGAATGTAATTTTACTCAGAACATTTTGCACAGTGAAGTGCATAGTTTGAATGCACTAGTATTTATTACTTAAAGGAATACTGTGGTGAATTTTTATGTTAAGGTTATCAAACATTATTGTTTGTTAGTGGTCAATAAAGTGAATATTTAATGGCATCACCTCATACCAATTTTATTACACAGGTTATATGGAGTTATTTTCGTATCCTAAGTACATCACAAGCAATAATATGCCAACAGAGTTCATTAAGGTGAGTAAAAGAACCTTCCTTCATCTCCTATGTCTTCTTCTATCAAGTTTTAGTGGAACCGTCCAGGACTTATTCCTTCCAAGACCACCATCAGATACCCATAGTCCTTCAGTTTTTATATGTTGGTGGGCTCTTTTATTTCACTAAGAAAAGCAATATGAACTCATTAAAGAAAAATTGGAAATTAAAAAGGGTAGAAAGAAAAAAATTACCCATAGCTCCACCCCCAAATACAACCAGCATTAGCAGTTTTAGAATGTTTTCTTCTGTCCCTTTTTTTCTTTTCTTAAAATGGACCGAGCTGAGAATGACCAGTTGCCACCTCAGTCCAGGATGGCAAACCCAGGAGTTTTGATGTAATAGTTCTTTGAAAACCATATAAAATCAAATAAGTGCCAAGTGATAATATTATAGTTACTGTGTGACATTAAGTAAACTAAAAGGATATAAGCATAGTTGTTTCACAAATGTATAATTAGGAAAAAATATATTTTCAATGACAATATCTCTAAACCTTCATTAAGAGATGTGCTTTAGTAAATGATTACAGTAAATTATTAATATACCCAAAAAGGAGTAACCTTTTTGTTAATTTTGCTTCATTTCCTCCAGTCTGCTTCACCTACCATGGGAAATACAGACTTCTGGAAAACGCTCCGATATTTAAATTTACTGTACCCTTCTCAAGGGTTACGGAACATTCTCCTTATATCTGATGGGCACCTCCAGAATGAGAGCCTGACATTGCAGCTTGTAAGGAGAAATGTCCAGCACACCAGGCTATTCTCCTGTGGTATTGGGTAAGTGGGTCTGAGATCTGGTCGCACAGTGGAGACCACGGGGAAAAAGGCAGCCTGCGAGTAGGCTTTTTAGTGGCCTGCACAGGCTTTTTGGGAGTTGTGAACTTGGCACTAGCATACGGAAGCTGTTAAGCACAGAGATGCGGAGCTCAGGCTCTGGCCAGACTGCCTGGGTCTCAAAACCTGAGTGGGCCAGTTAGTAGCCATGACCTTAACCATGTTGCTTAACCTCTTGTCTATAAAATGAAGATGATAATGAAAATATCATAGGTTTAATAGGCTTGCTCTGAGGATTAAATGAGCTCATATACAGAAAGCACTTAGAACAGAGCCGAATTGATGTTAGATATTATTACTTTGCGTAAAAATCCAAATTTCCAGCCTATCCTGAGATGCCTGAAGATCTGTCAAGGCCAGGCACAACCCTCCTTTGGCTGTTTTTGACTGGGGCCGAGGAGCTCCTGCTGCTCTGGGGGTCCCCCACCCAGGTGCTCTGCTCCTTCACAACACCTTTCTGGTTGCTGTGAGCATCTGCATTTTTAAACCCTGTAATGTACATGGAATCTTTCTCTAGGGAGGCTAAAACCCCATGACTGTTGGAATTAACTCCCTCCCCAATTATAGTTAGCTTTTTTGGATTGAACTAAGGTATATGGTGTAAATATAAGGAAAACACCGCACAGAAGGGGCCAGACCGGTGTTTGCACAGAGCATGCCTGCCCCCCGTCTCCCTGTGCTCGCCCCGTACAGTCCCCATCCTGGCAGTGATCACCAGGCCTTCCTGTTCTGAGGCAGTGCACAGAGCAGGATGCTCCCTCAGCATGTTGATGGGGGTGGGGTGTTTGTGTTCTCTGGGGCTGACGTGCTGTCCTGCACTGTGGGCCTCCTCAAGCCTCAGTGTGAGCTCCAGGGGCTGGGACCCTCGACACCCTTTGATGGCCCTCCCTGCTGTACCCAGGCTACACCTGCCTGCCCAGAGGGCTCTTTTCTTCTCTCTGCCCTCCTCAGTCACAAATGCTAGTCCTGTTCCCTGTAATCTGAGGCTTAACAGGGCATCACAGACCAACCAGGGAATTTATCCAACCCACAGCAGACTCCCCTAGAAATTGTTCCTAACAGAACTTTACCTGATAACTCACACCTGTAGACACGGGGTGGCTGGCCCTAACCTGCTGCAGGGATGTGTCCCCTCCCTACCTGAGTCAGTGCCCTATTCCATCTTCCTGGTTACAGCACTACCTCCCTGCTCCCTCCACTGCGTGTTGGGCCTGCTGTGCTGGTCTGGGCTCACACACCTCAGCACAGAAGGCATGTCCCCTGTTGATTCCTTCTGTGCTGAGGGCCTATCATGGGACAGACACTGCTTGGCACTAGGCTGCAGCTCTGTCTGTGGGGAGACAGTCAGCAAGCAGTCCAGTAAGCTCAAAGGGGAGATGGGTTTTCCTAAGTGCTTTGAAGGAAAAAATAGGGGTGCTGTGATGGGAGTGACTGGGGTGGCGGGCACAAGCCTCCTTTGGGTGGTGACTTTGCTTTGACACAACCCAGCCTGAGGGAGCTGGAATTGTTACTGATAATCTGTCAAGTTTTTAGGATCTTTCTAAATGTTTCTGTTTTACACATACATACTTATTTGTGTTCACAAACTCTAGCAAGATGTTGTGAGTTCTCCAGGAGTAGAGACTGCTCATCCTGCTTGTTGTAACAAGTCGTCCTTGAGGTCCACACCGCAGGAGCACAAAAGAGATTCCAAGCAGCCTCACTAACTGATGAAATCTATAAAATACAAATAAACTTGACTTAAAGATTTTCTAATCAGGGTTGTAATCACCGCCAACTAATTTTCAGAAGGAAAGACAAATCCATTCTTTATCAATAGGCTAAAGAATGTTTCAGAAATAACTTTCTTAAGCTCTTTTTCTGAAAATTAATTGATCATTTCTTTAATATTTTAGGAGAAACCTCTCTAAGAAAGGCATTCTTGATAGTTATAGAAGTATTATTGAGAGAAATTATAAAAAGACATTGTCATTTAATATCAAAGATTACCTTGCTAGAATGAGAGTTACTGCCTTATCTCTTTTGCTCTCTAGATGTGTATCACATTTTAAGGTGTAAATTTTAGTAACTCTTTCCATTTCTCAGCCTTTGGGATCAGATGTGGGTAACTTAGACATTCATTGAAAGTAGGTTGATATCTATCAGCGTTCTGATACGTTTTGGGGGTTTTTCAGAATCATCTACTCCTTCCTTTGGTCAATCAGAAGTCAAGAATTTCTGCTTTTATCTATTGTGAAAGAGAGATAAGTCCTCTGATATGTGGGAGCTTAAATTACCCAAACCTTCAGATTTTTGATACTCTGTCATAAGTTTTATCTCTTTAACCTCAGCTACAGAAGAGTAAATTCTTCTGCATGTAAATGTCTCTTTTATTGAGTTTCAAGCTGTGTCACCATTGTTAACTACATGTGCTTCAAAAATGTTTCCAAAATTTTTTGAAAATTAAAATGTGAAATGTGATCAGTTCCACAGCAAATCGTCACATCTTAAGGACTTTGTCCCACTGTGGTGCTGGAGTATTTGAATATTTTAACTCAAAATCCAAACACAATTGGAAAAAACAGGTATGTTTCTCAAACATCTTATTTCTAGTCTTATATTTACATGTGGAAATATTATCTTCTTACAAATCTAGTGATAGTAACTTCTCAGTTTTCATTAATGGAAAGGGGAGCTAGAAAGAGGCAAAAGGCACCAAAGGTGGCCCTGCCCTTAGTACACACTTACTGCCTAAACACAGTCAATACTTAATTGGGTCATTCTCCTAGCTAACAGTTTGATTTCTGCTTTATAAAGTGTCATGGATTGATTTTTGAAAGTGAAGTATTACACATGTTTTGCTAGGATTCTTTTTTTTGTGTGTGTGTGAGGAAGATCAGCCCTGAGCTAACATCATGCCAATCCTCCTCTTTTTGCTGAGGAAGACTGGCCCTTAGCTAACCTCTATTGCCAATCCTCCTTCTTTTTTTCCCCAAAGCCCCGGTAGACAGTTGTATGTCGTAGTTGCATATCCCTCTAATTGCCGTATGTGGGACGCCGCCTCAGCATGGCCGGACAAACGGTGCATCGGCGCGCGCCCGGGATCCGAACCCGGGCCGCCAGTAGCGTAGCACACGCACTTAACCGCTAAGCCACGGGGCCGGCCCCTAGGATTCATTTTTTATTGTGGTAAAATATATATAAAATTTACCATTTTAACCATTTTTAAGTATACAATTCAGTGGCATTAAGTACATTCACACTGTTGTGCAGCCATCACCACCATCCATCTCCAGAACTTTTTCATCTTCCCAAACAGAAGCTCTATACTCATTAAACAACAACTCCCCATTCCACCTCCCCCCCAGCCCCTGGTAACCACCATTCTACTTTGTGTCTCTATGAATTTGACTACTTTAGATACCTCATGTAAGTGGAATCTTACAATATTTGTCCTTTTGTGCCTGGCTTATTTCATTTGGCATAATGTTTTCAAGGTCTATTCATGTTGTAGCATGTGTCAGAATTTTCTTCCTTTTTAAAGGCTGAATAATATTCCACTGTATGTACATACCACATTTTGTTTATCCATTCATTTGTTGATAGACATCTGGGTTATTTCCCCCTTTTGGTTATTGTGAATTATGCTGCTGTATTAGCATATAAGCATATGTTCGAGACCCTGATTTCAATTATTTTGGGTATATACCCAGAAGTGGAATTGCTGGATCATACAGTAATTCTATGTTTAGTTTTTTTAGGAACTGCCATAGTGTTGTTCATAGTGGCTGCACCATTTCACATTCCTACCGGCAATGTACTAGGGTTCCAATTTTTCCACATCATTGCCAACACTTGTTATTTTCCATTTTTTGTTTTGTTTTTTATAATAACCATCCTAATGGATGTGAAACTGTATCTCATTGGGGTTTTGATTTGCATTTCCCTAATGACTGGTGATGTTGAACATCTTTTTATGTACCTGTTGGCCATTTGGATGTCTTCTTTGGAGAAATGTCTATTCAAGTCCTTTGTGGGATTAATTTTTATAACTGGAATGTACTCCTTACCAAAGTTGTAATTAACTAATGGAATAATTTTATGATTTTTTTGTATATTTAAATTATGTGCTAATGCTATTATTAAAAATTCTATTTAAACTCTTTTTGGGGGCCAGCCTGGTGGCATAGTGGTTAAGTTCGTGTGCTCTGCTTCAGCAGCCCAGGGTTTGCAGGCCCAGACCTGTGCACTGCTTCTCAAGCCATGCTGTAGCAGGCGTCCCACATATAAAGCAGAGGCAGATAGGCACGGATGTTAGCCCAGGGCCGATCTTCCTCAGCAAAAAACGGAGGATTGGCAGCAGGTGTTAGCTCAGGGCTGATCTTCCTCACCAAAAAAAAAAAAAAATCTTTTTGGAAAAGTACCCTGAGCAGGAAGGAGGAAAAAAAAAAAAAAAGCCAAAGAGCTACAAATCCCAAAGGATAGAATGTAAAATTTAAGTGTTAAGTAACTGTTTTATGGATATAATATTGAAAGAGAAATTATTCCTCTTTTATTAATAGATAGAAGACCAAATGACGAGGTTACGTTCTCCAAGTTGCCACTCTGTCTCCGTCAGATGGCAGCAGCTACGTCCCGCCGCACCCGAGCCCCTGCAAGCCCCTGCGCAGGTGCAGTCCTTGTTCCCTGGTGACCCGCTCCTCATCTACGGGCTGATTCCTCATTGCACACAGGTGAAGAGGCACACAGTGTGTTGTACTGTGGGAAGAGCAATATATTTTGCTAATAATATTTTTTTTCTTTCTTTTTTCTTCCCTCTCCTTCTCCCCCAAATCATAGTATGCTGGCACATTTTCCCTTCTGGAAACATAATGGGTGGCTAACCAGGGACACTGGAGAGCCTTTAACTCCATTGAAAGGAGAGAGGAAATTGCTGAAAGAATCACTGTTAAACTAACTAAGACACTGTGGAGTAGAAAAGCTAATAAGGAAATTTTTTTCCCATTTCAGGCAACTCTATGTGCATTAATTCAAGAGAAAGAATTTTCTACAATGGTATCAACTACTGAACTTCAGAAGACAACTGGAACTGTAAGACTCAAACCTTAAACTATGGACCCACTGTTGGATGGTTACAATAAGTTCATATTTTCATACATAAGCTCCTGGTCGTTCCTCCGTTGTCGTCTGTGTTGACATTTCAGTGCACGATACGTGCGGAGGATTGTTATCTGTACAGATGAGGGCACTTTCCTTCGGTTTCTAATGTAGCAGTTCTTCATCTGGGAAACAAGTCTAGGTGTATCCATATGGGCATCAATGGGTATGAATAACTGTAATTAAATTTGGTATTTTATGCATAAAAGTATTTTTGGAGGGGGGGCCGGCCCGGTGGCGCAGCAGTTAGGTGCGCGTGCTCTGCTTCAGCGGCCCAGGGTTCGCAAGTTCAGATCCTGGGTGCACCGCTTGTCAAGCCATGCTGTGGTGGCGTCCCATATAAAGTAGAGGAAGACGGGCACGGATGTTAGCCCAGGGCCAATCTTCCTCAGCAAAAAGGGGAGGATTAGCATTGGATGTTAGCTCAGGGCTGATCTTCCTCACAAAAAAAAAAAACAAACATTTTTTTTATGGAGGTTCTCAAAGATGTCCGTGACAATAAAAGTTAAGTGCCACTAGTCCACCTATGTTATTTTAAAATATTAAGTAAAAACACTATTGGACTAAGAGTAAAACATATCAAATATTGAGGATGTGTTTGTTTTTTCTACTTTTGGATTAAAAGCAAATGAATTATCACCAAAAAGTTAGTAGTATTTGCGTAAGTACCGAATCTACTATGGTTAGACCTGAAAAATTCCTAACCTGTCTCTGCTGTAATATGTAGCTTGCTATTCATAGGAGCCTTTGTATAATCAGATAAACCATTTCCCATACATTTCTGGGTTTTTGCTTTTTTAAATAAAATATGGCTTACTTTTTTGGCACAGAATCAATAATTATAACTGATTGCTTGCCGCTGATTTATGTATAGAACTTAAGGGAATCTCCATATTGTTTTAAAAATTGAATCTAAGAGGCAAATAAAGTAAAAGGAGTTGACCTGGGAAGAGGTCATTTTCCATGAAGTCACTGTCTTTATAGTTGGGCTTCCTCTGTGAACTGTGGCCTCAGCAGTAACAAAGTTAAGAGTTGGAATTATCATTGAAAGCAGACCTTGCCGTTGAAGATCACTTCTGTTTCTTAGTCATCTGAGAGAACAAGGAGGAAATCCTTCACCTGCACTTCCTAGTGCCCTCTCTCCGCCCCTGCCCTCAGAGTGGAGGGTGACATTCATGGTGGCACCACAGCACAAAGCTGGCTACTCCTACAGTAGAAGAATAAAGGTTTTGAAATAAATTGAATTGGCAAAATGACCTTTCATAGAAAAGGCGAAACTGTAGGGATAAAACATAGATGAGATAAAACACAGGTGAGTGGTTTCTGGGGGCTCGAGGTGACTGCAGGGGGAGTTTTGAAGGGGAAGGAACTGCTCTGTATCTTAATTCAGTGGTGGTCCCACCACTGAATACATTCATTGAAACTCATCAAACTGTACACTTAAAAAAGGTGAATTTCATTCTACATACATTACACCTCAATTTTTAAAGTGGTTTCCTATGTAAGACTTTAATTAGAGGCCATTTGAATGTTTTTTCCTTTGCTGCTTAAATACAGATGATTCACAAGCTGACAGCACGAGCTCTGATCAGAGATTATGAAGATGGCATTCTCCACGAAAATGAAACGAAGCACGAGGTTCACTCTTTTCATGATCCTTCTTAAATTGACTTATCCATGGGAATATAAACTGAGGCTAGCTGGATGAGGACGCACGTGGTGTCACGGGCATTCATTGTTGTAGCTGTGTTTTCTGTGCCTGGGGTGCAGGGTGCTCCGTAAATGTTTGTTGAGTGAATTAATGAAAGAACAGATGTCAGTGGTTTCCTGAGAATTCTGTGATAATTTTACCCATCAGAGAGAGGCCAGAGGAGGGCTCAGAGAATGTTCACTGGGTGCCTGGAATAAACCTCACCTCAGATGTCATGTGTTGTAGGTGTTAGTATTCCCACTTTAGTGATGAAGCCCAGGTGTAGGATGGGTGGGTGATCTGCCTAAGGATACACAGTGGAGCCAAAGCCCAGCTTGCTCCCTCCTTGCTGAGCTAATGAGGCCCCTGTCAGGAGGTCCCACTCACCAGGGGACCATGATGGCCCGGCTGGTCCCTCTGGGGCTGTGATCTTAACTGAGGTTAGGAGCATTAGTACTCAATGCCATCCCCCCAAAAAGGTGCCAGCGTGTCGTGCGGGGCCATTGGTACCCTTGCAGACAGTCCCAGCACGTGATAAATGGCATCGTGCTTTCACTCTTCACCTTTGCCGCCCTTTGGGTTAGCAGCCTTGTGTTCTGTTTTGCTTAAGGCCCTTTTTATGTATGAGGGCAGCAGACCTGCCCTGCCACCGAACAGCCCTGACTTGTCCCTCCGCATCTCCAACCACTTGGATTCCTCATCTCTAACGTAGGCACAGACCATCAGTCAAAGAAGGCGGAAGCTCACCACACTGGAGAGGCAGAGTTCTTTGTAAACTATAAAGAGCTATAAATATGAATTATTTTTTCTAGGACTTAGCTAGTCAGTTGATCCCATTTTTGTAAGGAATATCAACTCACCTACTTAAGATGTTTAGACAGGGCCATTGATTCAATATTTAGTATGAAATACTAATTATAAAGTGATTTATTTTTTATAGAAAAACACCTTTTTAGATTATTTAACACTTGTTTAATTGGTCATACATAGCTAAAGAGTGAAAATAAAACAGGATGTGATTTCATTTGTTTTATTCTATCCTAGATGAAGAAGCAAGTCTTAAAATCTCTGATTATTAAACTCAGTAAAGAAAACGGTCTCATAACCCAATTTACAAGCTTTGTGGCAGTTGAGAAAAGGGTGTGTATTGTTGTTGGTTCATGGTTATTTTATTTATATTTACATATTAAGAAAATTACTCTTGCTCTGACTGTTACTGGCAATATCCACATGCGTGGCTTGTGAGGAGCGGGGAGGGGAGACGCAGGAGGATGGTCACGAAGGGCCTCAGCATTAGGGCTCACCTCTACATGAGTTACTATGTTATTAATTTTAATGTTATAATTATCACTTAGTTACATGTATACTTTTGAGATATACTACAATTACGTTACATTTTTGGCATTTCTCATCTTTTATTAATCCAAGACCCTCAAAAAATAGAAAAGGAAAGGCCTGGGCTTCCCTTACCCCCTGAAAGGCCCTTTCTCTTTCATGAGTTTAAGTGGAGAATCCACATAGGGCACTTAGCGCAGTGCCCACACCCGGTAAGAGCTCAGGAAGAGGAAGCCATTCAGCTGAGCGTGTCTCTCTTCTCTGCCGCTTTCTCACTTGTGGCCTCGGACACACAATCCAATCTGACACCCAAACATATTCCAAACCAAACATTCACAAGGCTTTAGACTGTATATTAATCATTTAATTTGATAACGTCTGTTTTGTTTTTACCTAATTGTGATTTAATATAGGATGGTAATGAATCACCTTTTTCTAATATTCCAAATATCCTGGAAATTATTGCCAAAGAAGATGTAGATTTTCTGCCATACATGAGTTGGCAGGAGGAGCAACCAGACAGCAGCGTGACACAGGTGAGTGTGCATTACCAAATACATTGACATGGTGTGCTCATGCTTTTATGATGGTGAGGGGAACCCTTTGCTGAAATAGCACCCTTGTTACTTGTATGTAAAGAAACTATTGTCTCCCTGATGATGGAAAGTATGTGCACATTTGTAAAAATGTTGTTAGATGACTGAGAAAGTCACCATATATAAAGGTAGCTGTAAAGTATGGAAAGGGAACAGCTGTGGTTATGCCTCATTCCTAAACAGATAAACTGTCAATATAGGAAGCTAAAGTCATTTACTCTAAGTAATATAATAGGTTTGCCATGAAAGTAGTGATAACAGTCCTATCTAATAATCTAAAATCACCACCAATATTTCTTAAAGTTTATAGTGCTTTATACTGTGGCCTTTATAGACAGAAACATAATAAAAATTGAGAAAAGTGACTTAAATAAAAATTGGAAGGCATATTCAAAAGCAACGGAACAAAACAGTGCTAATAAGACTCTTAGGTATCCAGGTTAGAGAAGTAAAATTGCCAAAATTTAGAAATTTACCATCTTATGGGAAAAAATTTGTGAGAGGAATTTTGGGAAAATATAACATATGCAACATTCATTTTCTTTGATCCATTTTAAAGTCACTGTGTTAGTTAAGAATATAAAAACAGGGCCAGCCCCGTGGTGTAGTGGTTAAGTGCACACACTCCGCTGCTGGAGGCCTGGGTTCGGATCCCGGGCGCGCACCAACACACCGCTTGTCAGGCCATGCTGTGGCAGCGTCCCATGTAAAAGGGAGGGAAGATGGGCACAGATGTTAGCCCAGGGCCAGTATTCCTCAGCAAAAAGAGGATTGGCATGGATGTTAGCTCAGAGCTGATCATCCTCACACACATACAAACACACTAAATAAATAAATTTAAGAATATAAAAACACATTAGATATCATTTGCTTTGCTCATGAAATCACGTTTAGTATGTTTCAAGATGGTAAATAACAAGACAACAGCAACAAAATGAAACTGCAAGTGTTTCCTCAAATCCCTCATGCAGAATTTTTGTTTTGTTTTATCTTATAGTTATCTTTAAAGAAAAGGGGGGAGGATAATAACTTCAGAAAATCATGTTTCCACTCCCTTTCTGGGTTCACTTCCTGAGTCACATAGCTCCTGTTAGAAGAGAAGTTGTAGCCGCCACAGCACAGATGGGCAGTGACAGGGCTGGAGGAGTGACCCTGGCACAACCAGCCAGCTCATCCCCTCTTCTGGAATGAGCCAAGGCATAGAGAAACCAAGACTGTATTGAAGAGCTAACATCAAGGAGGTCTTTGGATGGTGTTTCCAAAAATTGAAAGAGATTTATGCATATGATAAAATCCAAAGACAATGATGAACTGGGAAAAATATTTGCAACAGAGACAGATTAATTTTCTTATTATATAAAGAACTCCCATGAATTAAGAAAAAGACGAGTAATCCAAGCAAAAAACAGGCAAAGGGTTTGATCATAAATAAGGAAATAATACGGCTCTTAAACATAGGAAAAGAAGCTCAATTTCATTGTTGCTAAGAGAAATGCAAGTTAAAACTGCAATGAGATCCTATTCTTGTATCTGTCAGGTTGGCAAAGATCAAAAAAGGTAGATAATCAAGATAAGCAAGTCAGTGAAATACAGTGTTGAGAACACAGGTGCTGGGGCCAGACTGCTTGGGTCTGAGTCCCAGCCCCACGTCACTCGCTACCTGGCCTCACCCTCTCAGTGCTCCAGCCTCTGTGCTCTAAAATGGGGACAGTGAGAAAACCTGCTCAAAGGCTTGTTGTGAGAAGTAAAGGAATTAAGACACATGAGGCCTTTAGAGCATGGCTGGCTCTTGGCAGGTATTCAGTCTATGTGAACCATCATTATTCTTAGCAAGGGTGTTGGCAATAGGCACTGTCCCACAAGCTGATGGGACAGGAAGTCAGTGCATGCTCTACACAAGGCAGTCTGTCAACATCTATGCAGTTCTTAAATAGAATGACATGGCTCTATATGTGCTGTGATGGGAAGATTCCCTAAGATATATTCAGCAAGAAAAGCAAGGTGGAGAACAGTGTGAATAACATGCTACTATTGATATAAAAACAAAAATAAAAGAATGTAAATTTATTTGCTTGTTTGTTCATTTTCTTATTTTAAAATTTCTGTATGTCTACGCGCTCTGGAGAGAGACCCTAGAAACTGATAAGAGCGCTTGTCTCCAGGGAGGATAGTGGGTGACCAGGAGGTTTCGAGGGATGCTTGATTTGTTACAGTGTACCCTTTTGTATATTTTGAATCTTATATCATGGGAATGGATTGCCCACTCAAAATATAAATAAACTTTAAAAACACACAAACAGTGTTTGGGGGAGTCCAGTCAGAGTAAGAGATGCATGTATGCTGATCCCATTGGTAAGTTTAGCCAGATTCAGGGTGGCCCAGTGGCCTCACACAAAGGCAGCGTACGTGTTGACAACATCGGCGTGAGGCTACAGTTGTCATTCTGGGACTTCAAGATCCTACTTTAGGGAATGTGGCTTAGGGGTTATTAAGGGAAGGTAAAGGGACCCAGCTGAGGGGCAGTGACACTGTCCTCCCTCTGTTACTCCCACAAGGGAGTCATTTGAGTGAAAAAGTTTTGGAAAAAACATCAGATGTACAATTAATAATTAACTGTTGCCCTTGAAACAAGACAGCCTTATTGTCAAAATGAGTCCTTGAAAATATATATTTATTTTAAATGTGTCAAACACACAGAAACGATCTAGAGAGATATATGTCAAACAGAGATTGGATATGAAATTCTGTGTAATTTTTATTTTCTTCTTTGTGTCTACCTGTATTTTCTAATTTTTTCATCATGCATGTGTATTGTTTATAAAATTTTTAAATTTATTTTCAAAATTGGTTCTAAATTCATTTGGGTTTTACTATAGTGTAATAAAGAACTATTTCATACTAATTTTGCAAATACTTTGGACTTTAATATTTCCAGATCCAAACCTATAGAACGACAAACTACAGATTACAAAATTACAAATTAAATTGATGACTTGATAGTTTATCTTTATTTCAGCTACAATAATTTTTCTGAATGAACCCTCTAATTTAGCAAAAATATTAAAGCTTCTGTTACTCTCCCTCGGGATTTATTTTACTTACCAAAATATGACAAGTAACAAATTCTGTTTGGAATTATTTCCGTTCAGGTCAGTAACAGGCAGCAAGAGATCACTGGAAGAGCACTGGCGATCTGGGATCTGCCTCGGCTCTGCCTGACTTGCTTAAGCTTAAGGGGTCTCAGTTTTCTTATTTATTAATGAGACCATGCTTGGCGTTCAGCTCCTTTTCTGTTCTAGTGCACACACGATGGGTGACGTTCACATGCTCAGCGCCCTCCCAAGGGCATGCCTAGGTTTAAGAATAATTCCTCATACACTCACCCTAATCCACTCCTTTCTTGCCCACTCATGAAGGCATATTGAAAACAAGTAAGAGGCAGATATTTTATAAAAGTAACTTCTAATCTAATTTTTAAAGTAAATTATTTTTTTTTTGAGGAAGACTGGCCCTGAACTAACATCTGTTGCCAATCTTCCTCTTTTTTTTTTCCCCAAAGCCCCAGTACATAGTTGTATATCCTAGTTGTAGGTCCTTCTAGTTCTTCTATGTGGGATGCTGCCTCAGCATGGCTTGATTAGCCGTGAGTAGGTCTGTGCCTAGGATCCAAACTGGTGAACCCTGGGCTGCTGAAGCAGAATGCACGAACTTAACCACTACGTCACCAGGCTGGCCCCCTAAAGTAAATTATCTTAAAAAAAATCAATACTTTAACTGTTATTAGCAACAAATTGAGTGTCTGACTGAGATTAGAACCCTTCGAGCACTCTATTTCAGCATCTCTCTCGAGAGAACCTGCATTGTTCCTTAGTAGATGATGATGGTTAAACATAATTAAAGATTGTGAACTTGAAGAGAAAGAAGAGGAAAGTGAGTAATTTTGGCAAATAGAAGAATCATGCTAGGAGTATGAGCTTATTTTTGTTCATTTAGTGAAATGTTTTCTTACATAGTCACGTGGTTCAAAATCCAAACAGTACAAAAGGGGAGACAGTGAATCCTTCCCAACGGATTCATTCACTCAGTTCTCCTCCCCAGAGGCATCCATTATTACAGGTTTCTTGTGATATCTTTCCAGAAATAGCATATATATATATGAGCTAAATATGAATTTTCCCATCTGTTTACAGGTATATACTATGTACAGTGTATATACTATACACACTGTGCTATACATTGTTTTTAATCTACACCTTGGAGATATATTAAAGAACAGCTTCTTTATTTTTATGGCTGAAAAGCATTATATCATATGGATGTACTAGAATTTATTTATCCAAGTCTTTTATTAATGGACATTTAGTTTATTTCCTGTCTATAACAAACAGTGTTACAGTGAATAACATTGCACATATATTATTTCCCATGTGTTGTATTATATTTGTAGGATATATTTCTAAAAGCAGACTTAAAAGGCCAGAGGATATGTGCATTTTAAATTTGAAATAGTTAGGGAAATTCTGCTACTGACCGTGATGGAGTAACATCGTGCATTTAGAAATTGGATTTATTCTCCCACCTTAAACAACTGAAAACTATATGACAGAAAATATTTGACTGGACAAAATATATGAAACAATGGTTTTCAGATACAGGACAATAGACAGAGCAGAAGAGTGATCCCTCAGAGAAGAAAACAAATGAGGTGAGTTCTAGGATTCTTCTAGCTTATTACCTGGAAAGAGCTTCCAGACAGTAGCCCTAGGACAGTGGACTCAAAGAGAGCATGGTTGTATCTCTGAGTTAGGGAGACAGAGATTGGATCAAGGAGGCAAAGATGGCTAATATTAGAGGGCAAAGTACTGGAGAGGAGAGAACTGCCCAGAAAGAGCTCCAGAGATCTGCAGAGGGTTCCTTTCTCATCTTGGGCTGAGTACTGA